GAAAATAATGGCTCCTTCTTTAGGGTACTGTGTTGAGAGAACACATATTATCAGTTTCTCACATGCCTCTGTCTGGTAACCAAGTAAATGCTAAAGTTTTAGATTCTGGGTAATTACTCATATTTTTTAAATGTCATGTCAAATATTGTCATTAATTCAATTGATGGCTAAAACAAAATGAAGACACTTAAGATTTTGTTACCTGTAATGCTAAAACAGTAATACGTATCATGTTTCTCTCTATTGCTTTAAAAGTTCATTTTTGAATATCATTGATTGACATTCTCAATAATTTTATACAAATATAGTATGCCAAAATAAAAATAGATGTTACCCATAGTATGGCTCTTCACAAGAAAGATAAAATTTGGTACTTTCCACTTTTTAAAGATTGTTTGATTTACACATTATCAATATTTATGTATATATGCTGGCACAAGGAAAAGTAAATCCATCCATTTTCAGTAATAGCTGGATAAATTGAAAATATTTACATAAATGATTCTGCAAAACACACTCTCAACATTCCCCAAAACTGTGTAATCAGAATCGTGACAGGTAGCAGGAGGATGCTAATTAATAGCATATTCTCCTTTTTAACAATATATATTTATATCATAATATTATCATATATCATAAATATGTTCATATGATAAATTTATCTCAAATTACACCATTCTTAAAAAAAGAAATTTCTCTGATACATTATTTAAAAATTGTTATGAAAAATTCTTTTGCTTTTTTTTGTTTCTTATAATAATAATTCACCAAATCTATTAAAACTGGAATATGATAGAGCTAGTTTTTGAGGGTCTTATAAATAGACAACTACACTAAGTTTTCTGAAAGCAAAGATGTGATTCTACCATATTGGTTTCAGATGAATATACAATATAAATAAACTTTTTTGTTTTCCAAAATTTGTTCAGAAAACAGTATATAATTTATGTAGTTAAAATCACAAAATTTCATGCCAAACATGAACTTTACAGAAATGCTACATAGCAACTTTATTTCCCATATTGAAAACTTTGAAGAAAACAACTTTGTTTTAAAATTAAAGAAGTGATATGGACTACAGAAACGACACTTTTGAAGTTCTTAAGTTTATGTCATGGGCAATATGATCTCTTCTTTTAAAAAAATTATCGAAATGGTTAGTAATCATGACCAAGGATGGAAATATTGCCTAACATAATCACAACTCCTTAAATTATTTAATGTGCCACCTGGTAACACTCCTAACTTGGAAGTCATGAGTCTGAGTTACGATGGTCAACTGAAGCTCAACCCCGTTGAATGTACTTTTACAAAATAGTTGCTGATTATTGGTGAAATTTTGGAAATTTCCTAAATCTAGCAACATTTAAATACTACCATCTCAATGATAAATAACAGCTGGGTGTTATCTTCCAAAGGCCTTTAGGACAAAAAAGGAGTTCCAAGTTCTTTCTCCCCCAGAGTAGTTTAAAGTCAGTAATCAGAGTTTACATTACAGAAATGGGAGGGAGCATGGTAAAAGGGTAATTCAGGGCCCTGTACAAGTCAATAAATATGCTCAGAAAGAAAGGATGAAATGGAGGAACAGATCTGTATGACCACTCAATCTAAACACTGTTAAAAATATCTTTGGGAGATAGAGAGAGAGAAAGAGGGAAGGAAGGAAAAGAAAAGAAAGAGAGAGAGAGAAGGGAAGAAAAAGACCACAATAATGGACTTTCAGAAGGAGAGAACAAAGCCAAGGATACTAGAGATGGGGGGAGGGATGAGGGAGGTTGGGAAGTGATAGGGCGGGTGAAGGGCATGGGGAACGATTATGACTTGTAATGATGAATATACTACTACTAATAAAAAATCTTTCTTACATTCTTTCATTCATTGCTTTTTAAAACTGTTTTGATGTTTCCTACTTTAATTAATAGGAAATGAGATAGCCTTAAAACTATATAATTAAAGTATTTATTTTGCTAGCAGATTGAATAGTTACTTATATAATAAGTATGGCCAAGCTATATTCTAATGATATGTTTGATATATTAGGAAGCAAAAGAAATATGATTTGATGAATACAGTATAGTTCTAAGATAGACCACTTGGTTCTTCAGATCAAAACAAACAAACAAACAAACAACTGAATATTGTCTAAACTGTTCTGAAAAGTAGCAGATGATTCTGCCAGTTCTGAATGACAAACCTCTTGGTTATTTCTTGTCATGCAGATATTTTTCTATGAGCTAGAACTTTTAATAATCCCTGTTTAGGATCACACTTTTATTTTTATTACCATTAATTGATGAACATTAGCTCTATTAAAAATAACAGTCACATGAAAAGAGCTCAGAAAATATAATTAAAAATTCTTGGTCATCTAACAGACACGGCTTGATATTAGCTCCAACTATTACATATTTTTCAGGAAGGTTATATCTTATACTTCATCATTTTAGTATAAAACTTCAGTGTAAAAGATGAAGTCAGGCAATAGATTGTGTTGAATATTTTCTATTCTTAAATAATGTAACCAAAGATAAGACACCAAAAAGGCAGGGCTTTAAGGAATCTATTCCTCCAGGGAATTAAACCACATAAATATATTTCGATAAGAAATTGAAGATATTTTCCTAAGAAACTTTGCTATATTATAAAGCATATGTATTCTCATCTTGACTGAATCTCCATTTCTACATCTTAAAAGTATGACTGCTGTATTCCATCAGGATCATTAATTAGCTTAATTTCCTGAAAATTAAAATTTTGAACTTCAGTAAAATTTAAGTCTGAGAAGTAACTCTCATTTTGCTTCCAAGTTCTGAGAAAGTATGTATATTTAATCCTCCTAATTCACTTACCTATGGAACATATGAGCAAAATCCACTGCATATATTTTACTCAAATATTATGATTCTTAAATCATTTATAAAAGTAGGTGCTTATAAGCATTTTGTTTATAAAATTAAAAACTGACATGAATGGTTAATATTTTCTCATTTATTCCTAAAAATAAAAAAGACATTTCAAATAACATAAAGAGTGGAAAGTCATTTCAGGAAACAAATTTTAAAAGACTTCTCAAGCCTAGAGTAGAACTTTTAGCTATATGAAATTAGTATCACATCAACATTTACTATAATAAAACCCTATATATGTTTAATATGATAATAATAATTGAATATAATATTCAATCACATATAGTATAAAGAATTCAAATGACTCACTGATAACTCATGAAAAACACTGCCATATACATCAAATTTTAAAAAATATATTTCCTTATAATATTTCTTTCTTTATTTCCTCCTAAAGCAGAGCACTCTTTTTTTCTTCAGGTGTACTTCTAATTTGAAGTCATGATAGTGATTTGCAATACCCAAATGTCCTTAATAATAATATCTAATGACAAAAAATACAAGACAACCCCCCCCCCCACCTTTTTGATAAGAAATAAGCACCTACACTGCTATGGTATTCAGCATCCTCTCCATAATCTGTCACAAAATCACCAAAAGGATAAAGGGAAAATATAAGAAGTAGGATATGTATTTTTACTAATTCATTTTTTGTAAATGCACCAGTAAGGTCTTCAAAAAATATATGAGAGTAAATCAAACTAATTTCACTTTATTCTGTTTTATTATAATTTTTTAATTAACTTAGCCCCAAATTCTTCACATATGAAATGTTCCATTAGTTGGCCATACGACAACATGAGAAATTCTGTTCAACACATATGTCTAATAAAATTAAGCTGACTTTAATCACAATGTCATTTAAGGAAGCCAATTAAATTAGCCAGGAACACAAAACTTAAAAAGCAGCCTTGGGAATAACTTTTTTTGTGATAGCCATCACCAAATCCTTAATGAGCTGATTACCTATGCAAGAAAAGTAGCATAAAGCTGAAGAAAAGGCACTAATATCACTCTCTGGCTTATCTAAGAACTCATAAAAGTAAAAGGCTTTAACCATTTTATTTTATTAGATTCTCTAATACGTAAAAGGCTGCTACTTTTCTACAGTTTGATTAACATTATTAATCATTTGATACTTTTCCTTTTTTAGCCCTAAAAGTCTATTTTTAAAAACACATGAATTCAGAATATGTCCCTTTCATTGCACAACTTCATTACCACCAAATAAAAGAATGCACGAAAGAATTCTAGAAGAAAATTAAGACCCCAAATTCTGTAATGCAACCAGTCCTTGGAGACCATAAATCTCATCAGATACTGCTCTATCTCCTGTGGGTACTGAGTGGGCATGGGCCCATTGCCTGATGGGATCTATAGCTTTTTAAAATCTGTGGATGCCAGTCATTTGTTTCTCTTTTTGAAACTATGAACCTAGAGTTTTAAATTTGTTGTAAATAACACTCCACTGCATTTTGTAGAATTGACCAGTTTTAACCATGATCTTCTAAAACACTGCATAACCTATCAGCCATAATGAAAATGTAAACATATAAATGTGTGCATACATATCATAAAATCCTTTGATAATGATATCTACAACCTATGTATCATAATGTTGTAAAATAACAGTTATGGTTCATAGAGGGAAAATGCATGCTGTAAGTATGAAAATAATTTTCATATGAAAATAATTTTTCAACTACACTTGGAAATTATCATTTGAATGCATTACAGCACTTTCTAGACACTTCAGTATATGTTGTACATACCCTTATTTTATTAGGGCATAAATTTTTTCATTGTCATTGTATTTTTATGTATTCATACATATATAGTTAATATTTTCCTATATTCAGGAACTCCAAAATTTCTTTCTGTATTTATCACTTTCAGGAATCAATACTTATTTGCCAGCAACTCTCTAGTACTTCGATCTCTGTATTATTCATACCCGTTTCACAGATTAAAAGATTTTCCAAACCATGTAAGAAAGAGAAAAAATAATATTTCCTGGGAATTATCATATAACCTTGACGAGCCCGCAATCACCTCACCCATTTCCAACCTCTCTCCCCTTTCCCCTCGTGGCACCTACCCTAGTGTTGTCATGGTGACGATGGTATACCAGAAGGCTGCAGGGATGCTAGTGAACTTGCTGGCTGAAGACCCCTTCTCTGCGTAGAACATAACTGTAGCGAAGATGATGATAGCCATAGTAAGCGAGAAGAGCAAGAAGCCCAATTCCGAGGCACAGCTCTTCAGTGTGTACCCCAGGATGCGCAGGCCTTGAGAGTGGCGGGAAAACTTAAAGATCCTGAAGACCCGGAAGACTCGGAGCGTAACAAAGGCTCCACTGACATCCTCATTGTCTGTCATCACCAGCCCAATGTAATAAGGCAGGATGGCCACCACGTCGATGATACTCATGACACTACGCACAAAACGGTAACGACTAGGGGCTGCAGCCAGGCGAAGCAAGTACTCGACTGTGAAGATCATGACGCAGGCTGTGTCCAAGCAGAAGAAGGCCACGGCATAGCGCTCCCCACAGGGCAGTTCCTTGATGTGGCCGGGGCTAGACCCACACGGCACTGTTTCCACCACGTTGGCAATGACTGAGACGGCAATGAAGAAGCCCGTCACATAGTAGAACACCAGGGCCATCGTGCTGGTGTGGGGGTTCTCAAACGCCCGCCAGACCCGCTGCCGAGCAGTCATGGTGGGCAGCGCGCTCTCCCCCGTGTTGTCGGTGTCGGCATCGTCCTGCAGGCGCTCTGCGTTCTCTCGCCTGCGGTCCTTGTACTCCTCATAACAGCAGTCGCCAATAATTTCCGGGATGAGGCCAAAGAAGGCCAGTTCTTCATCATAAGCCGAGATGCACTCATGGCGGGGATAGTGGAGCTTCCCAGTGCGGTAGAAGTTCAGGATGTGGCGGAAGATGTCTGGGTCACGGTCGAAGAAATACTGCTGAGTCTCTGGATGGTAGAAAAAGTCCCTCTCAGAACTGCCCAGCAGAGTGTCTGGGTAACGTTCCAGGGTGTCCTGCCACGTCTGGAAACGGGTGCCACTCACATTCAGCACAATTAGAGCATCTTGAGTCCTCTTCCTTTCCTGCCTCGGGGGAGCTGGCATGGGCCCCGAGGCCACAGGCATCCACCCGATGGCCGCGGCCCTTGCAAAGGGCAGCCACGCTGCTACACCTGCCGCCATGGTTCCTCGAAGTGGAGGCCAGAAGGGTAACCAGGCTTCTACAGTGGGCCAACCAAAGTAGCCACAATCACCCAATTCCTCCCGTCAAAACAAAACAAAACAGAAAACCTTACTGAGAAACGTGGTCCTGAGGTATCTTATTCCAAGGTAGGACTGCTGAAGAACTGCTGAAGTCACAGTTCTCAGAAGGGCAAGTTGCACTCAAAGACAGGCATTTGGAATAACAACATCAAAAAAACACAACGTCCGAACAATCACCCACAGCAGAACCTGACCAAGCAAGCCTCTTCTAGCAGTTGGACCAGGCCACCTTCCGGCACAAGTAAGCACACGGGTGACTTTAAATGCAGCAATTTCTTCAAACAGGTGTCTTTGATTTCTCCCCTGACACAGTCTGACAATACGGGGTCAGTATGTGGAGTGTAGGATAGAGAAGAGGAAGAAGAGTCACCCAGTGGTATTCTTTTGCCGAATCAGGGAACCCTTCCACCTTCTCTTTTTGCTCTTTCAAACCTTCCCTTTCCAAGTAGCCCTTCCCGCCAAAGGACTCTCAAAAAGGCGACCTGTTGTTGTAGCTGGAGATGCAGTCACAGCCGCTGCCCCACGTCTGTCTTCGGGAGTCCGGTTGCCGCCTCTACTCCTGCGTCCGTATTTGCAGGGATGGATGGAGGTGATGTACCGTGGTGGGCACAGTGGGGGGCGTGAATACAGATCCTTCTCCCCCACGTCCACAAACGCTCTCTGTGACTGCCAAAAGCGTTCGCCCAATCGCCCCTTCCCTCTCTTTCCAAGTTCAGCTCAGGTGCAGTGTGACAGTTACAGAGAGCTGGCAGCCACCGCCGCCGTGGCGACAGCAGCGCCTGCCTCCGCACAGAACGCGCCTCGCCCGCGGTCCATACCTGGCGAAGTGCGCGCCGGGGCTGAGTCGAACAGAGACTTTCTCCTCGCGGTGCACCGGAAAGGGAAAAGGCGAGAAAGCAGCTCGCGAACAGCCGAAGCCGACGCGCCCAGGGAGCATAAAAAAAGCTCAAGCAAGCTCTTCCCCTTCCCCCATCCCTCCGTGCCTCCCTCCTCCTTTTCACCTTCCAAAAGCCGGGCGCAGGCGAGCCGAGCAGCAGCAACAAGTTCAAAAGGTGCGGGGGAGGCGAGGACGGTGGGGACTCGCTCCTGCCAACTTACAGCGCGGCCGCTGTCGCCGGGGCCGGGGCAGCGCGGTGCGGAACCGCG